CTGCAGGTCACAGGGAAGGATGCTTCTGTCAAAGGGGTTGTCATACACTTTATCACACCGTTTTGCAAGGTTTTTGAAGGCAGGTGAATGTGCTTCTTGTGCTCTAGGAAAACAGCAGTTTCTAAAGATGAGGACTAGGGACATAATGACATAAGATTAGATTGGCATCCTATGTGATGTAAACCACTGGTGACCTAAAATTGTTCACTCAGCCACTCTATTTTTATCTTTAATGATATGCCCCATAAATTACTGTGAAACTAAAGGTGCAGAATAATTAGAAGTCAACAGATAATTCATACAATCAAATTCTGAGAGGAAAATGGAAACAGCTAAAACACGTTTTCACAGTTCACTCAATTATAGTCCATTTGCATGTTACAGTATGCGTTTCATAGTCAAACTTTCCAGCACTAAATAATCTAACTAAACTTAGACATTTACAAGTGAACAAACTGCCAAGTTACTATAGTAACAGCTTTTATAGGATGATGAAAAGAGTAAGGTGCTCTATATAATCTACTTCTATCAACAGTATACCATTTATACTATAAAATATTTTAAATACTGTAATATCACAAAATACACTAAATATAATTCAATATTTTCTTACTGATTCTGGAGTTAATCCAGGAATATAAATGAGTATCAATTATCATTGTGCAATAAACATATAAGTGTCAAAGAATTCCTTGCCATCAGATACAGAAAAACAGGATTTATTTCCATATATTAAAAGTAAGTGTAGTCTAAATGCAATGTGGTACCCAGGATTGGATCCTCAAACAGGAAAAGGACATTAGTTAAAAAAAAAAAAAAAAAAAAAAAAACTGGCTAAACCCAAATAAATCTGTACTTAGCTCACAGTACTGTACAGTAACTTCTCCTATAATGTTTTAAAAATGCAAATTTGTTCCAATGAATTGATATATTAGGAAACAACTTAAGTGTAACAGAAATTTCTCATTTGCTGATGCAATTTCATACTCAAGAAGCATTAGGTGAACACAGAAAACTGCACCCTGCTGAACCGAGCCACTTTGGCTTCCATGCACATGCGTACTCCTCAAACATCTACCAGCTACTTCAGTTTAGCAAGTGCCTTAGAGCCACTCCCACCCACATCTGGTGTTAACAACCTTCCATCAAATTTCTGATCACCATCCTTCCTCCACTTCTCAATAACTCACAACCAGAAACTCTTTTGACACTTCCTTCCATAACCAAGGTCTTTTTCAAGGTAAAGTGCCATATTTTAGAATTTTTGTGTTTCTTTAATTCTTTTTTTTTTTTTTTTTTTTTTTTTGAGACAGAGTCTCACTCTTTTGCTTGGGCTGGAGTGAGTGCCGTGGCATCAGACTAGCTCACAGCAACCTCAAACTCCTGGGCTCAAACAATCCTTCTGCCTCAGCCTCCCGAGTAGCTGAGACTACAGGCATGCGCCACCATGCCCAGCTAATTTTTTCTATATACATATATTTTTAGTTGTCCTATTAATTTCTTTCTATTTTTAGTAGAGACGGGGTCTCACTCTTGCTCAGGCTGGTCTCGAACTCCTGAGCTCAAACAATCCGCCCGCCTCGGCCTCCTAGAGTGCTAGGATTACAGGCGTGAGCCACCACGCCCGGCCTGAATTTTTGTGTTTCTTAACCATTTAACATTAGGTTCCTAACTTTGTCCCAGTGAACAAAGTTTTTGAGTGCTATGCCACTAACCCCATTTTTCCCATAAGCCCTATGGTTTTCACTGAACAATTCTGTATAGTGCAGTGATTTTTAGGAATGCACATGTCACATTATAACAGAACTGACTATTCCAGTGGTCATTTCTTATTTTGACAAATGTGCTACAGTTATTTAAGAAGAAAATGGAACGTAAAGAAATAGTATACAGGAATTCTCTGTATTATATTTGCAACTTTTCTGTAAATATAAAATTATTACAAAGAAAGTTTAAAATGATAAGTATATGAAGTATATAAAGCCAAAGCCTTAGTATTCATTAATTCATTCATTTAACAAGTATTTACTGAGTGTCTACAATGTTCCAAGCATTGTTCTAAGTTTAGGGGATAAGGATGGGAACAAAATAGACAATAGACTGTCTTCCTAGAACTGACATTTCAGAAGGGGAAACAAACAATAAGACAAATAAGTAAAACAGAAATTAATGATAATTGCTAATACTAAAGTAGCACTTACTTGGTGCCAAGCACTGTTCTCAGTACTTTATATATATTAATTCATTAATCATTCTCACTACCTATCAAGTAAGTGCTATAATCATCCCCATTTTACAGTTAAGTTAAGAAACATGGCCAGGCACGGTGGCTCACGCCTGTTAATTTTAGCATTCTGGGAAGCCAAGGAGAGAGGATCGCTTGAGGCCAGCAGTTGGAGACCAGCAAAAGTGAGACCCCATCTCTACTAAAAATAGAAAAATTAGCTGGGTGTGGTGGCAGGCACCTGTTATCCCAGCTACTGGGGAGGCTGATGAAGGAGAATCACTTGAGCCCAGGAGTTTGAGGTTGCTGTGAGCTAGGCTGACGCCACAGCACTCCAGCCCAGGTGACAGAGTGAGACTCTGTCTCAAAAAAAAAAAACTTAAGTAAAGTTAAGAAACTTAACAAGATCATGAATCTGGGCAACTATTAACAGATAGCCAGCGCTCTTACCTCTAAGCTATACACTATTCCAACAGATAACTGTTCAAAATACAACCTTTCTAACTAGATTGTATTCATCATTTCTGTTTTAGTAAAATAGAAAAAGAGGCAAAAATGAAAAACCTAAATAATCTTTCTGAAATGTAGTATAAGCACCAAAAAATACCAAAAACATTTTTTTTTTTAAATCTCCTCTTATTACAGAAAATCTCTATTACCATGAATTGTGGAAGCTAACAAAGACTGTAAGAAATGTCACCTTTGTAATTTAAAATAGCCAACTGGCATATAAAGTATAAACATTTTACAACACTGATAAGCTAAGAATGGGTAGCTATAAAAAGATTCATCACCTGTGACAGAAAATGTAATTTCAAAGCTCCACAAAACTTGGTCACATTTCATCAATGTCAAATATACATAATAATTTAAAAGTGACAATATAAAACACAAAAATAGCACATACCATAGAAGTTTCCCAGCCATCATAATCACAAAATTCGATTCAATCAAAATTGATTGATCAAGCTTTGGTTAAATGACAATATAATATTTATCACAATTTAAACTGGTTCTTGTGGCAGAGGAACCACAGGGTAGCACTGGGCATTGTGCAATAATTTTGCACACTAATTCTAAAATTTCAGGTTAAAATTAAATGCTTGTATGAGCAATCATCAGAAAACAATAATGATAAATACATTCAAATCTAAGGAGAAATGGCCTTTAAAAAAAAACTTTAAGAGACAGTAGCCCCTTTCTCTATACTAACAATTTAGAGTAGAAAAAGTCATTTCCATTCAAATTAGATTCATTTTGCAAAGAGGCAAGAACAATAGATAGAATTATATTCTGAAATACTCATAAATATATATTTATGAAACACAATTTACGTATTATTCACTATACAGATCTAAAATTATCTGAAAATGAAAAAGGCATCCCAGGCTTTTTCTTCACTCTTATCAGAAGAAAGACTTGCTTTTTTTAGTATAAGAGCAATATAAAATAAGGAGTTTATAACATATTTTTCGAGCTTACTGACCCACAACTCTAAATAAATGTAGGCTCAAATCCCAGCTACACATATATAGACTTTACCATACTACTAAACCTCTGTAAATCTCAGTTTTCTGTAATAACAGGGATAATACCAAAACTAAAATTATTTGAAGACCAGATATAAGTATGTGCCAAATACACAGTAATTACTCTATAAATATTGACCATCATCATTAATACCCAAACCTACAAATATGATATTGAGTAGAGGCAGCAGGGGAGGAATGAGGAAGCCAGATGATCCCCAATGTCAATAATATCTGTTAACATGTAAGTTTCCAGTAGCTAAAGTTACTAGAAACAATGATTTCAGTCAGAACTATCATAATTCCTTAGAGTATTTTACAGTTTACAAGTAGATTTCATATTTATCAATTCATATGTTACTAAAAATACGCAATGTGAGTAAGTAAGGCAGAGACTGTCAACTCATTTTAAAGATGAATAAACTCAAATTCAAAAAAGATAAATCATGCAATTAACGATTGAGCCACATTTACTAGTGGGCAAGTTCACTATATGTAAAAGATGTCACAAACAGATGTGTCATGTTATTCTTTTGCCTTCTGTCTCTATTTAGGAAATGACCTAAGCAAGGTATCCTCCGCACTCCTCCCTTCTCCCACGTGCCATTCAGGCCGGGGCTAATGGACTGCCCATCCTTGAGCTATGCACTGAGGCAAATGTATTTTCTTTGCTTCATGTCTGGAAGATCACCAAGTGGGGACATGCTCAATGGTTCCACAAAGGCTTAGAGTCTATGCCACATGCTGAAACCCAATGATCCAATATCCTTGAATTGAGACTAGGAGTGTCAGTCGGGTGGTAAAGTGGTATTTTGATTTCCCCTTTGTCTTTCTGTCTCTAGAATTTCATATGAAGAAAGGGTTGTCAAGCAAAGCAACTTTCCACCTAATATTGTCAGAACTGTACTTCAATTTCTGAAAGATACAATTCAAACATATTGTTATCCCCAAAACTGTTCTGAACCAGAACATGGTACATATTGAGTACACCACAGTAAAATCAGGAAGCTTTCCAAAAAATGGAAAGTTTGTGTTCATTAAGTTAAGGTGATCTTGTTATGCCAGAAAAATTTTAGTTTTAGAATCCTTTAAAAATAACTTGGAAATAATTCTATTATTAGGAAAAAAAGTTTTAAGTGGATTACACTAAAATTACTGTTTGTTTTTTTTTTAATTTAAGGTGTTCAGCATAAAACAAAAATTGTTATTTAGAAAGAAGGTAAAATTCAGTTAACACAGTCACATACCAAGCTTCAGGCAGCAAAACAGAATATTCATGTGGAGAAGTGGTCTCTGGAAAGTTGGAGAGAATCGCAAGACGATGAGGAAGCAGGTCAGAGCCATGATAAGTGAACAGGATTTCTAGGGCTTGTACATTACTTTCCTGTGCAAAAAGCAAGGGGCAAGTTTCTAATGTGAACCTTAGAAATAAAGGAGTGATTTTATATGACAATATTAAAAACTTAAAATTAATTTTCTGTGTAGTTCTGATATGAAGTGCTTTGAAATATGCCTGATTTTCCTAGCCTTTATCATGATTCTCAATCTAATACTACAAAAATTATTTCTTTTTAAAACTCAGAATGAATAAAAATTTTTGAAAATATTGCTCCATTTACTTCATTTATTAATATTACAACAAAAAAGGAAATGTAATAGTATATGCGTGCAATAACATTTACTACACAGCTCAAAGTTAGATAGCATTAATAACCATAATTATTTTATTTATAAAAAAGAAATTACCCGAGCATAAGTTCTTGCTGAGAGAACAATATTCTGATTTCTGAACTTCTTAAAGAATTCAGCATCATATCTCTGTTCAGATGCATGAGGCACTCCTAGGATTTCCTGAGGGGAAACAGTGATTTAATGAAAAGGCTTTTAAATAAGAGTAACAAGAAAATATTAAAAACCTTTATAACTCTGCCTGCCTAAATAAATAAGGCCTAAATTAATTAATTTCAACTATCAATTGTCAACTAAAGTACTACATCTGCATTCCTGCCTTTATTTTGAAAAGGGCCATATTAATAAATGCTGGATTTTTTTTTTAATTCAGAAGTAAATGAAATAGGTGGTAAAAATCAAGTTAATTACAGGAAGACAACCAAAATCAGCCACCTGGTAAAAACAAATAAGCAACAGCTATGTATGGTCACACATTATAAGCACCTGTGCCCTCTGAATGAGAATTTTAGATTAATTTTACAATTGCTAGAGTGAGCTATGTAAAATGCAGACTGAATCATTCATCCATTCAACAAATATTTATGGAGTGTCCACCACGTGCGAGGGGCACTGTTGACAGGCACTGGTGGTACTGTGAACAATACACTTTCCCTGCCCCTCCAAGTGGCTTAAAATCTCATAGGGAAGACAAACAGGCAAATAAAACAAGTAAGTGAGGAGAACACACAGGAGAGGGCCACAACTACTTCTGGAAGGACAGGGAAGGCTTCCCAGAAGTGGCCCCGAAGCTGGAACACAAAAGACAAAGTGGAGTTGGCCATGGGATTGAAAGACTAGGTCTCCTCACTACAATGTATGACTCACGGTCAATACTGAACCCCAGATTCTCACCACGCTGCCTATCACATAAAGATAGCCAATAAATATCTGTTGACTGAATTAATTTACTGAGATAAGAAAGAGAAGACTGAGGAGGTCTGGAGGGGGTGAGAGAGGGAGGGTGGAGAGTTGAGAGATTCACTTGCAGACGAGTTGAGGTTGGTACTATAACACATCTAAAAGGAGCTGCCTAGTGAGCAGGGGAATATACAGGTCGGAAGTTCCAGACTAACATATGAGTTAGAGATACATCATGTCAGATTATTAATACACAAGTGACTATGATTCCAAGAGAGATTAAGTAGTATGAGTTGAAAGGAGCCTCAAGGAACAACATCATTTAAAAGATGTGCAAGAAAAAGGGAATCTGCATCTGAAAAGTAGATGGAAAAACAGCCAGAAAAGGGGAAAAAAAAGAATTTAATGCGTACTCATGGAAACCACTAGAAGAAAAGCATTTCAAAAATGTTCTCAGTTCCTTCACTCCTCATCCACAAAAATTATTTCCTTTATTTCATCTCACACATCCCATGACCAAACCCTGGATTTCTATCATCACCCAAAGACACTATCAGGAATAACTCAATGTCCAGTTCCCAAGTGTGTCATCAACTGCTCCTGATCTTCCCACTCATGTACTAAGTGGCATTCCACAAATTCCTCAACCCCTTTCTTCTATTCAATACATTCCCCTTCACCCCTCTACTGGTTCATTCCCATTAGCATACAAACAATACTTCTTCCTTCTATTATCGAGATCACCCCTTAAACTCATATACCCCCTCTAGCTACCACCATTTTCTCTGCTCTCCTTCATAATAAAACTTCTAGAAAGAGGTACCCACGGCCACTGTTTCCATTCCCGCGCTTTTCATTTTTTCCTAAACTTGCTCAGCCTCTGACAAAGAGTCAATTCAATTCGGTACACAGCATGAGACCTTTCCAAACATAGCCACAAACCATTCTAACCATACTTTCCACATTTGTTATGTGCCATCCTCACTCCCCCATCCTGTGGGCAGATACCCTGACTGACTTACTTTCTCAAGAGCATGCCATTTGCTTTCACGCCACTAGGCCTTTATACAGCACACTGATTATCAGCATAAGCTACTAATCAGAAAGACCTGATTATGAGTTCTTGCTTCCTACTTGTTTAGACAAATCACTTACCTTTCCTAAATTGAGAGGATAATAGTATCTGCCTCAAAAGGTTGTTGAGAAATAATCTGAATAAAGTACATAAGAAAATGGCCAACAAATAGTAAACCCTCAACAAATGTGTTGGTATCTATTACATACTGGTTCAAATATTCAACAGATATTTACTGAGCTCCTCAATGAGCCAGGTACCATTCCAAGCTCTGGGGATATAGCAGCAAACAAGACAAACCCTTGACCTCGTGGAGGTTCCATTCTAGCAGCCCCTTTATAATACTTCCTAGCCCTTGAAATCTGCCCTCCATTTTATAAGGGCTAGTTGAAATCTCACTTCCTACATAGTCTTCCCAGACATCCCCAGGAAGAATCTGATGCTCTTCTCCATTATGTTCCTTTGTCAAGTCTCCACAACTTTAGTGTCATCACCTAACGCCTATTCAATGTGGACTCCATGAAGACTGCTCCTTGTTCATCTCTCTACCCCCAGCAATGGCACAGTTTCTGGTATATAGTACTAATAGACACTCATATGAAATTTAAATGAATTCACTTTTTATTTCATTTATCATAATATTAATAAAATAAGCCATGTCCTCTCTTATTAAAATGCAATGTCTATCTCTACCACATAACTGGATAACCATTATATCTGAATATTTTCATTATTAAGGATTTTGTTTGTTTGTTTAGAGACAGAGTCTTGCTCTGATGCCCAGGCTGGAGAGCAGAGGCAGATCAAAGCTCTCTGCAGGCTTGAATTCTTGGGCTCAAGCGATCCTCCTGCCTTAGCCGCCCGAGCAGCTAGGACTACAGGTGTGCACCACCATGCCACCACCATGTTTGTTTGTTGTAGAGATGGGGTCTCACTATGTTGCCCAAACCGGTCTCGAACTCCTGGCCTCAAACGATCCTCCCATCTTGGGCCTCCCAAAGCACTAGGATTACAGGTCTGAGCCACCACACCTGGCCCCCCAAGTTTCAACAAATTCATCAAATTCACCTACTTTTCAAAAGCTTAGCTTAATTTTTAAAAGTAGGCTCAACAAATACTTTAAATGTCACTATTACAATGTACTTACTACTGTTATATGGGGATAGCAATTCAATAACTAAAGAATAATGAAAGAAAATTAACTAGATAATCAAACTGTGAATATTTTAGGTATCTTTTTCAAAGATATCATCAGTGAAACTAAGGTTAAGTATAAAAAAATCTATATCTATTCAGACTTCTACAGTGCACAATGAGCTTTTATATTTTACCTCAAAATATCACAGCACTCAGACATAGCAAAGAGACATGCTTTAAAGTAATATGACCACCCAACAGCCAAACTAGTTGTGTCTATAAATAAAACTACTAGGAATTTTTCACGACTTGTTTACATGTGATGATATACTCACTAACAATGTTTTCTAATAACCACAGAAATACCCCTCTTTTAGTATTTTGTTTGAATCATTTCAATTACACTGGCAGGGTAGGAGAATGAAAGGTTTTTGGTTTTGCCTGCAAGGACAGAAGTTCGTGGAATGAGCATCACATTATTAGATGTGACATAAAATGCCTACCATATGCCAGTGCCAGGCGCCTAGAGAAGTATGCTAACTAACAGAAGGGAGGAGGAACACAGACCCAGGAAGTTACTTCCAAGAGACGTACACTACAGTAGTTAGATATTTATTTTAAAACCTGGGTAACTTCAGCTATGAGGGTCATGTGAAAAAGCAATCTAAACTATGTATGTTAATTAAAATGTGGCTCATTTCCACTTACACCTCTAACGATATCTAAATTGGTCTTACAGTACAGAGTGCTACTGAAATGCCCAACATGGGGCCATCTGTGTTTGCATCCTTAAAGACCCCAATATGAAGTATACTGTTTTTGACTTCAAGCGTCTAATTTTGGCCCTAATTAGGATCAAACATATATCAATTAGATTCAACCAATGAAAAATAATTAAAATAAAACAAATCAGAAATATTCACGTTAAGATTATTAAAACCCAGTATATACTAAAATCTGATATTGAAAACAGCTACGGGCTATTACCTTAAAATTGAAATATAAAATAAAAGTAAATGAAAAGGATTGTAAATCTAGAAACCATAGGTGTATTGAAATGGCTAAAACATTTCTATTTCCTAATCTAATGAAACAACTTGTATCTTTCATGATCTTTAATTTTTACAAAAACTAGTATAAAAGAGAATTTGCTTCTGTAAGAAATTAATTTTGCCCACATAAATAGTTCTAAAGACCAAGAATATCAGATATTAGGGCAGCAATAGCACGTATAATGACAGATCAAACAAACATAATTGGTTTGATTAAAATTATTCCTTACCTCATATGTTGCGAGTCGATCCAAGTAGGTTAATAATTTCAGTCTACAACGGCAAAGTTCCTTTTGTTCCAGTGTCAACCTGTTTTGAATAACTACATTAGGCCACTTGTATTTACACAGAAGTACATTTTTATAGGCATTAAAATGAAAATGACTAATATTCCATTGAGCTCAAAATTCACGAAACAGTATGGAAAAGCACAAGGATAAGATAGCAGTAAATGCATTTGATTTAAGCTGCCGAAATAATTTAGAGTAATTATCACTAGTAAAGAACACACTGAAATGACTAGTTACTTTAAAGAAATTATCAAATGCATAGCAATAAATCATTTACTTTGAAAAGTTCACTAATTTAAGTAGTTCTCGTCTTTTCTTGAGCGCTTTTTCCTTTTTGTTCTTGGCAGGCTCTTCATCAGGTGGGGAAAGCTCCTCATAGGAAATATTGTCAATGTCTACTTCACCAGGTAGTGTAAATCTGCAAGGAAAAAAATCATTTGATTTTTTTTTAATTTCATGTGTGAAAAGCTACTTTCTCTTATTTTATTTGTCCTGATTTATTATTGATTTCCATAGAAACAGAAACAATTATTTGAAAAAAAAACGTTGCCATTGTAAGCAAAGTGACTCATACATTATATTTATCGGACAAGCAAAAAGTCATCAGTAATCATCACAGATAGAAATTTAAAAATCAAGAAAATAAAAACTATTTTGGAAAACATGTGGGATTATATTCACCCTGTGTAAAGCAGCCTGTGCAGAAAATGTTGTCCATAGAGTTTGCTATTTGAATCACTTCCATTTAAAGTCTTAAGATGGTAATAAATGTCAATCTCATTTTAGTTATTTACTTCTCAGATATAATCTCACATTTATATCTCAAAAGAAGTTCTGTCTGATAAGCAATGGCTCTTGTCAAATAACTTTATGACATTATCATTATTAACTGACATTTGAATGGTGCTTACTAGTTTATAAGTGCTTTCACAAGATATATAATCACTCAAAGTAATTTTTTGAAGAAGGTATGATCCTACAAATTAGGAAAGTGAAGCTCAGATTTGCCTAAGGTGGTTCATCTGACTAGTAAACAAATCCAGGTAAGCGTGTTAAGCTCCAGCTGAGAAATGTTCGGTGGTCCATAAACGTTTGTAGAACTATCTGTTTCCTCAGCACCAAGCTATCACATGCACACATATTTAACTTAAAGGAAAGAAAGTTGTGACCTCAGACAAGAAAGCATTCATCAAAGGCAACTGCCTCATTACATGATAACCTAAATAAAGAAAAGTCTACCGAGTCCAATGTCTCAGCTTAGAAGCTTTCACAAAGTCATCTTTACACTTTGAATCCAGTTCTTTCTATAACCAACCTGCCATCATCCACTCCTTTCCCTATTGCCAAAAGAGCCTCCAAGTCTGTGCCTTTTAATCCATACTGAAGCAGTTCTTTCGCAGCATCCACATTTTCAGGAACTCTTTCCAAACACTCATGGAGAACCCAGGATCGCTTCTTTATTTTACTCTGAGTATAAAGAAAATAAAAAACAGAGGCATTAAAGAACCCATGACATCTTACAGCACCTGACAATTGCCTTTAGAACTCCACAGCTATATCTGACGTATTGTAGCTATTTAAGAACTTGGCCACAGGTAGCTGCTAGAGTAGCTCAACAGAAAAACAGCTAATTCTCTAATGGTGATTACAATTGGATGCAGGGACTGTGATTCCAACTGCTTTCTTTCTTATAATGAGCCACACTAAAACACTAAGCGCAGTACTATTTTTCAAATATGAAAATATCTTTCCAAACTTCTATAGTTGCCTTTGGTTTGCATTTTGGCTGTATAATATAGTAGAAAATAAATCAGAAAGGCAAGATATATCCTATTGTTATTAATAAGCATGTTTATCTTTGAAATAAAACTAATGAGACATAAAACATCAAGGTTCTGTATATATTTGACCATGAGATGTATCGCAGAATGTAGATGATAACTTAATCATAAATGTCAAGGAATGCTGTTCTCTGGAAAGACCAAGGGCCTATTCTTCCCTCCAACTCCATTCAAAATCCCTGACTTGCACTCTTCCTGGAAAGAGCTGCCACGGTTACAAATCTGAAGTAAGATTTGACTCATACCCTATAACCCTTTATACATTCCATCATATCAATTCTTCCTTCAAATGTCTCTTAACTCACTTCCCTTTTCCATATCTGCAGTCTCGATACCAGTCTAAATCATTAATACATAATACCTGGGACACTATAGTTCTTTGCCCCTAGCAGGGTTTCCCAGTCTCCCTCCACTCCAATTCTCCTCTCCATTATCTTCCTCTGCACTTCCACAGCCAAAAATCCACAACATGGATAAAGGACTAACTCATCACAAGCTTTCAACATCTTCCCAAACCCAAATAAATATCTTTCCAACCATATTTCCATTGTTCACTACTGTCAAATATCAGCTGCAGCAAACACAGAGTTCACTTATCTATGAAATACTAACCAGGCACCTACTGTGTACCAGGCACTGAACTAGACATGAGGATACAGCAGTGAATAAAACATATTTAGTCACTGTCCTCAGTGAGTTCAGCATGAGTCTTGCTCAATGGCTTTGAAATTGCTCATACCCATTGTCCTATTAAGAATGCCTTCCTCCCTTCTAACTCTAGAAGGCCCACTTTAAATCCTTTCAAAGCTCTGGTCAAAACATCTTCACTATATAAAGAAAACCACCAAGTCTATAATGATAGCTACCTTCTCTGGGTTCCTAGAGCTTTATCTGAAATCTTCTTGCATGGTCACGTATACTTTAAGAATGAAGCCTGACTTCTCAGTAAGATTATAAGCTCCCTAACAGCAAAGGCCACATTTGTCTCTCCTGTATTCCATCACAGTCCTTAGCATAGTACTTTTGTTCTTAGTAGCCTAGTTAACTAAATATTTACATACCCCCAAGCCCCCAAAAATGTACTTGCTTTGTCTCTCCTAATACTCCTTAGCTCCTTCACCTGGGAAGACTGTGTCCTTTATTGTAACCCAGAAAAAGATATACACACAAAGTCATGAGCTCACTGTCCTAAATCATAAAAGAAGAAAGAAAAATAATACAGGTTTGGTGTTCTGATTTTTAAATACAGTGCAAGTAACTTTGTCTTCTTCCCTTTTTCCATTATCTTTCATGCTCTTTGATCTCTATCTTACTTGTATTAATGTTAAGTTTATCATCCTCTTTGATTGAAGCACCAACTTCTTACACACAACTTTTTCATATTATATTTTTATTTTTAATTACTTATGTACATACATTTTTAGGGAAAACAATTATCATGAAATTTTCCCAACATTTCTTACAATCTTCCTAAATGCAAAGGTATTTTCCTTTGTAGATGTCAGATCAGAAGTCCCAACTGTTTTAAAGTATGCCGTGAGTCTAACTACTTTCTTACCAAGATGCCAAAGGTCAAAGCATATAGGCTTGTTAGGAACTGAGTGTGCCCCGCAAAATTCATATGTTGAAAAACTAATCCCCAGAGTTATGGTACTTGGAAATGGGACCTCTGGGAAGTACTTAGGTCATGAGAGTGGAGCCCTCATGATAGGACTGGTGACTTTATAAGAAGGGACATAAGAGAACTTGCTTCCTCCCTCTCTCTCCCTCTCTCTCTCCCCACTCCCCTCTGCCATATGAGGACACAGCAAGAAGGAATTCATCTACAAACCAGGAAAAGGGCCCTCACCAGGAACCAAACTGGCCAACACCTTGATATTGGTATTCCCAGCCTCCGGAACTGTGAGGAATAAATTTTTGTTGTTTAAGCCACCCAGACTATGATATTTTTGTTATAGTAGCCCAAACTGACTGAGACAAGGCTACATAACAACTTAAACTATGGGAGGCAGGTAGCAGGAAGTAACCAATTGTGGGATTCAAGCAAAGAAGAAGTATCTGGCAAGTTTAATATGTTGATTATCTATTTATTGCCTCTCAACTCCAAATTTTCCCTCACAGCTGACTATGTGACAGCATTCCTCATATGCAGCTGAAAGGATATTAAGTCTGTCAGTAGAAGACACTGGAAGGCCACTGTGAAGGAAAAGGCTCTGGCTCCTAGACCTGATGTGCTTTGGTTCTTCTTGCTCCTATGGCTTGGCAGCCAACAAGGCATGTGGGGAAAATCCAAGGGTGCTTTCATCCCCCTCCCTCTTGCCATGGACAATTTCCCATTGAGGTTGAGCAGCACTTCCGTGGGCAGATTCTTTCCCAGTGAATCTCTTGGGCACCTGAGAGGGAAGTTCCCAGACAAGGAGCTACAGGAAGCACGCCTACAGCAGTAGGGAGTTTTTTTCTTTCCAGTCCTGGCCATGGTTCCTTATTTATCTACCAGCCTTGGGCTGCATGCTGGTTGGGGGTTTCCTGTTTGTCAGTCCCTGGGGGCTTCTGACTGCTCCCCCCCCACACCTCAGCTCACTGGTCCCCTAGCTGCAGGTGTCCAGCTTTCTTATCCATGCCACATTCCCTGGACTGCCAACTTTGACAACTGTGGACCAGCCCTGGCCCAAGGCAATGCAGACAACTTCTCTACCATCCAACATGCTACAACCACGCCTGGCCCAATGAGGTCTGAATGCCAGCCGAGGAGAGGAGGCTTCCCTTCCAGGTTTGCTCCCTCCACGGGTATGTTCCTTCAGCCATAGGGTATTTCTTAGAGTTCTTTTTACCCTTTCATAGTTGATCTCTGGTTACTAGAAAATAATTCTCCATATTGAAACTTTCCCTGTTCAAATTACCATGTGGTTTCTGGCTCCTGACTAGACCCTGACTAATGTAAGTGACGAGAGGTGACTGCATAACAGTAAGGGAAAGGATTAGGCCAAGGCCAGGTGGCTGGCTGGTTTATCAGTGAATATTTGTTCACACATCTTCAGCAACAAAGTCCAGCTACAGACAGGGGCACTAGAACCTGACAAGATAATTTTTCCAGGTGAGAAAAACACACTTTATTGGCTGCAGAAAAGTCAGCAATGTAAAGTTCTCTAAAATGAGGACTTATAACCAAAAGATATTCCACGAATATGAATTTTACCACGTTTCCAAAACATTCACACATACCAAATAATTCTGAATTGAAGCAATGTTGACCGCTGATTTCCTCCACTGCCTCTGATACACTAGGTCAGTATCCAGGCCGTACGTATGTGCCAAAGACAAGGCTTCCTCATACTCTTCGTTTTCAATCTTTAGACAAGGAAACAGAAACAGGAATGCTACATTACTGAATTATCCACAGGGTCCCTATGATGATACGATGAATGATAATAATTCTTGGACCTATGCAGCATCTTATGAATTCCTGCGTATTGTGGCACAAAAAGCCCAGACATTGAGGAACAAAGAGATTAGGTATTTCCTAGACACTTTAACAGAAAGATGAGACAGAAAAGGTGTCAAACTCTCATTTATAGCGTAAAACAATGGCAAAACCAGGCCAACAGTGCCACAGCCCGACTCCTGCAGTTATCTGTGCTGCTCCTGCAGTGTCATGAACAGCACAAATAACGTGAGCACGGTGTTGGAAATATTGGGTTCCCAAGCAAGTCCCTGACTAGAAAGCAAGTCTGCATTTCTTCCCTCACCATTTGCAGTCTGAGTAGACAGCTGTACTTCAACACAGATAAAGGGAGAGCTGATGACCACAAGAAGGGTGGCAAAAAAAACAGGCTATGCCACAAAGTAGATAATCGGTCCAAGTGAATTCATCTCTTATCTACAGCTCTGATTTTGATTCCTTAGGTACAAACAACAGCATTATTTTCAAAAGCATTATCATACTAACATTTCTAGCATGCTAATGATCCAATTACCCTCTTTAAATTTCTTCATTTATTGAAAAATTGGCTTTTTCTCAAAAAAATAAAATAAAATCTTGATGCTTTCAAATTTGACAGTGACAGGATACTCTCTCACCTTCCTCTGATAAAGCTCCTCTGGAGTCGTAGAGCGCAAACTCACGAGGCGGTAGTTTTTGGTAATGGTCCGTGGGCGTTTCCGCGGTGGTGCAAATCGCTCCATTTCAGTCACTAAGTAAAGGCCCTGTTTTATGTAACCAAAGTAGCGAGCCTTGGCAGATATTTCATGATCGGAATCAGAATCCTCTTCTCCTTCATCTTCTTCTCCAGCTCTAATCTCCAAACGAGATCGTTTGGGGGCAAGTTTAATCTCACACTAAATTGAAAAAGGAGATATGAAATTAATAGTGAAGAACTAAAGACAAACTTTTTAGAGTTAATGAAAGAAAACACATTTTTAATTCTACTCTGGTTTGATTCATTATGTCAGCCCTGTGATTCAGATTAACAATGGAACTGAAAGGAAGCCAATGACAAACATTATACATATTAGCTCCAGAAACATGCATATATATTATCGGCTCCCAAACTCCAAAACTAAAGCCTGTTTCAATAAGAGGTCATTAATATGGTCTTATAAATATATGCCTCGCAATTATTTTAGAGAAATAAAGAAGTTGAGAGTGCTGATTTATTTTACTTTTGATATTTCTGTACCTGCTGTGGAAAAATAAGATAATATTTTTTTCCATCTCCTTAGAGACTGAACATGAGGTATTTATATTTGCTTTACCGAGACTGGGTTTGCCTCACCCCCTTTTAAAAATGTCTAACAGCTTCACAAAGCTCTGAATCTGAAAGCCTGGCTGTTAAAGATAACTCTCATTCTAGACTTAACAGAGTTGGCTTAGATTTTAAGCCATAGTTCTCTACAAAGAACATCTTTAGAGTCAGTAACAAACTTTGGAATAAACAATATTTGTCAATCTGCATTGCAGAAGTGAAAGCTATTGAAGGTTGTTACTCTTGAAAGACTTAAATAAGAATTTTAAATAACCAAAACATAACTTTAAAGAACTAGCCACTATTTTGAAGTCTTTTGTCATAATAATCAAGTTTTTATTACTAAAAGAACCAAAATTTTAAGTTGCTACACTTTGTGGAAATAGGTTAAAGACTATTATTTCTTAGGTAGTAATACCACTCTACAATTTAAGACGACTAATCAGGGGGCAAAAAAATCTATGACTTCAGTGAAGAAGAAATCCTTTATAGATGGCAAAATGACTACAAATTTTCCTAATTCTCTTAAATTGCAAATTTTTTTAATTCAGCAAACAAAGGATTTTTTTTTGGAGGTGGGGGATACTATACCCAATGTCTAATTCCAATCACAGATTTTTTTGTTTCTAAAGACAAGATTAGATGATGGAAAACTAAAACAAAAGGCCAGGTATTTAAGTTTTTGGTGAAGTACATATCTATTTTCAAACAAAGAGGAAAGCCTTACCTCCAAACTTAAAAATCCCCCATCATGAGTAGCAGTTACTTGTGGTGATGGTTCAAACCATTCACAGGATTTTCCCAGTAAATTCTTCAAAGTTTTCACTGATGATACAGTCAAAGCACCAGAGCATCGAGCCAAAGTCACCGCATTGTCTGCCCACCAGTTGACATCTATCAGCGGGTAAAAGGACTCTTTATCTAATGGGAGAAAAGTAAATCAATACAAATGCATCTGCAAATGTGGTTTAAATACAGCATATTCAGTATAATAATCAATTTAAAAATAAAATTCACCTATATTATTTGGGCTCCAAAGATATGTTAAATAAGAAAAAATAAAGTCTAAGTCATCACTGAAATTCTTCCTCAGGCATGAGGTACAAAATGGTATTTCATTTAATGAATGCCCAAGTGCCAACAACTGGTCAAAGTCTAAAGCTCTAAGTATACAGAGGTAAGTAACTTAAGGTCCTTCGACTCAAGAATATACTGTGCAGAGAGAAATGTCACCATTTTCAACATAATAACTCAAAAGGTAGATGTATACAAGGTATACAAATACGAAGGTTATGAAAGGTTTCAGAAAATGTACACATATCACGTTCAGACAAATAATGAGAGAATTATACTCTTTAGAAAAATGTAAGACAGATATATAATTATTTCTGTTGCTAATTTCCTCTTAAACTTGTAACTAGTCATACAGAAAAAATATTCAAGGCTAGTAAAAAATTTTTAGAGGTGAAAATGAATTATGGTTCACCAAACTGAGGTATTTAAAAAGGAAGTGCCATAATATTTATTATAACTTTATTGCACCTTTTTTAACCTTGCCTATTACACAAAAGGTATGATATGGTTTTAAGGAAATACATACCACGGTAAACCATATATTTAAAAACATATTTAAACATTACATTAAGGAAAGAGAGATCTTTAAATTGGAATTCAGCACCATGAGAATAACTCATTATTTTAATGAAAACAAAGACCATAACAACATTTTCTTCCAATGTAAGCCTGAGGCAATTCATATAAATAAGGAATTCCAAGGAAATGTGAAAAGCAGAGTTCCTCAGGCTTATAGCTACACATGCAGTTGAAAGAAAGAGGAGCAAGTCATTTTAATCAAATTCTAACTTCTACTTTGACCAATTATTATTTTTCCTCAAAAATGTTTCTTAATGAATATTTTGGATGGTTAACAAAAGCAGATTATTCAAAGTGCAGAACCTGATACATGATCTTAATCTATATTTATAATCTTCTTTAGATGTGAACTAAACGCATATTATAATATAGATTTTAAACCTTGTGATAATCACTGATTTTATACTAAACACAAAAATCAAGAGATATTTAACTTTGAGAACTTCACCTAAAGAAAAATGACCCTTAGTCAAAAACCAAAAGTAAAAAGCTCAAAGTAACCCTAAAAGGTTTTTAATTTTTGTGTTTTAATATGCCAACTACATGATAATTATTACTTTTATTTAAATGTAAATCTTAATTATTATATAATATTTATAAACGCAATGAGCATATATTAATTCTCATTGCAAAAAAAAAATTTCTTTTAAACATGAGATGTATGGAAACAAGCCCACCAACCTAACCCAAATTTCCTTTCAGTCCCCCAGAGGTAACTACTCAGTATTGAGCCTTGGATGAGTCTCTTTCAGCTGTCTCCCCCAGCAGCATCTGAAAAGGAGCGTGCTACGAGCACTGAACACAGACTGCCATCTCAGGGCTGAATTGTGGAAGGAGAGCCGTGCTGCACACCCCAGCTCTGATTCAGCCTTTGGGAAACCCCAACCATCAAAAAAACTGGATCTGTTGCCTTTACTCAATTCTCTGAAATCTTGGTATTTCTTCCAGTATGAAGCAGAAGTATCTACAGACTTTTTATATCATCTAAAGAGCACCTTATATAATAAAGGAGCCTGTTAAGGTATTAGTTAACATATTTCATACAACTTACCTTTGATTTTTTTTCTCTTCTCAATGGAGAGCCTCCAATCAGGATTAAGGTCATCATAGCCTGGCTAAATATGAAAATATGCACAAGACTTCTTTAGTCAACTATGTAAGAAAATTATGAGACAATCATCAAGAACTATGGAATTTAAAAACACCAAAATATAGAAATGATACTTTCCCCTTGATCTCTCAGTTACAACTACCTGAAATCTATTCCTCACCATAACAGTCTAGGAAAAGCAATTGTTCTTACACTTAAAATGTGCACATGCAGGTATTGGGACTTAATTTAACAAAGAAAATAGCATGCATAAGAATAAGATAGCAAGCATATAATTAATACAAATGAAAGCAAGATACACTAAAAATTCGTTCTATACACATGCACACATACATATCTACATACTGGGAAGAGGGTGCTATGTGTTAGAGGATATACACTGGCTTGGATACAAGTCCTAGCCCTGCCACTTGTAAACTAAACAACCCCTCCAGCCTTGGTTTTCATAGCTCTGACATTTGACTAGGCAACCTCCATGTTAATTTTCCATGACTAAAAACTTACTAAGTAAAAAAGTATAACCATGCAATCCTCAAATCCATTCATATTCATATTCTACTCTCATGGCAAAATAGTGTCACTCTCACCTTTGAGAACATAATGGCACATCAGTATCTCTCAAATATCATAAAACAATTGAGATTAAGCCTCTTGGCTCACTGTTCCTCAAATCTCCAGAATTATAATAGTATGGGAAAAGACCAGTAAAAAAAAATCACTGAGGTATTTATTTGAAATTGTAAATCCAAAAAAAGTGCTGCTATACTCAAGTCAAACAAAATGTGCATTTTCATCTAAAGCAACAAAATAAGCATGGTTTATTATCAATTTATCAGTGGTTTACACTTTAGAATATTAATATAGATATTTTTTTCCATAGCTTGAAAGAACTTCCTGTCCTCCACTAATATGGTAAATCACTCAGAGCAAGAACAGCAGGCCCTGAGAAGACATAATCTTTAAACTTTATCAGAAAAAAAAAGTTGCCATAAAAGGCTATTTATGTATCGTGGGAAGAAATGGAGTATCGTGATTTACTTAATCATTAAAAAAGATGATTGATTAAGTTTCAAAGAATTAGAATACAATAGGTACATATTATTGAAAATAATCAACTAAATTAAAATCTTATTTGATCACTTTAAGATACTTTTACAATGCCTCAGAATCACCAGTAGTACAGGCCCTTACCATGCATTTGCACACCACATTTATATGATATGTGCACTTCCCCACTCACATTCTGGAGTACACAAAGGGAGTATGAAATAAAACTTTAAGTCCCTCAAACAGCAACAATTGAGAGTCAACCTTCGGTAAATTTAAGGACATACAGATCACAATGAAATTTGACAAGAAATCTTGAGAAAAAATTTTTAAAAAAATCTCATTGGCATAAGAACTTTGAGAATGCAAAAAATGTGTGTCTTTATTAAAGTTAATGATTAGACAGAACACCATGAAGAAGCAATATTCAGTAGAACCAAGGTCTTAAGTCATCTGGGACTTCCTTGTGCATTGCTTAAATAATGGGCATCTCCTGTGAATTCAATTTTAAACACAAGGTGAAGACTTGTTCTGCATCCGAAACTCTGTCATGCTCATCCTTGTGTTCCCAGATCCATCAGAGTGCCCACCCAACACAGCAGCTAAATGCTGAATGAGTAAACGAATCAATTAGTCTTTTAAGTCACTCAACACTAATTAGAATGTCTAAGCTATAGGAAAACTACCTGGCATTATACTATTCTTTGTATACTCTCTCAAAAGTGTGGTTTCTTCTATTTACTCAACAAATACTGTGCACTTACACCATGAGTTACAGACGGAAAAAAAAATCAGACATTATAGGCCCAACACCCAAGCACGTAGAAAGCTAAGAAATGAATATAAATTACTATAATCCAAGGTCAAATTTGATAACTACCCAAGAAGAGGTATAGATAAAAGTGCTAGTGGTCTTCAAAGAATGAAGAGAGAATTTTGGATATGGGCTTGAGAAAGATGAAAGAAATTCAAGAGGTACATAGAAAGCCCAGTGGTGTTTGGTTTTAAGACTGCATATGATTTAGATGCAGAAAATAGATAGAGGAAGACCTTCTAGTTTGAGAGCATAATGTGAACACAAGTACAGAGGTAGGAAAATATAAAGTTTATCCAGGGAAAAGAATAGATCAGTTTAACTAAAGTACAGGACAGCATATTGTAAACATCTTTATTTTTGATTGTTTTGGGATTTGGGGGAGAATATTAATGATATCATTTTTTTATGAGGTGAACTTCACATGACATAAAATTTAACATTTTTTAAAACATTCAGTGGCATTTCAGTACCTTTACCATGTTGTGCAACAACCATCTCTACCTACTTGCAAAGATTTCTATCACTCCAAAGTAAAACCCTTACCCATTAAGCAGTTACTCCCCATTCCCCTCACCCTGGGCCCCAGCAATCACCAAACTGCTTTCTATCTCTGTGGATTTATCCATTCTGGATATTTTATACAAATGCAATCATAAAACCTTTGTGTTTAGCTTCTTTCACTTGCTATAACGTTCTCAAGTTTCATTCATGTTGTAGTTCGTATCTGCACTTCATTCTTTCTTATGGCTGAATAATATTCTGTTGTATGCATATACCACAATTTGTTTATCCTTACATCCATTAATGAATATTTGGATTATTTCCACCTTTTGGCTGTTGTGAATAGTGCTACTATAAATATGTATGTACACATATTTTTTTGAGTACCTGTTTCAAATTCTTTTGGATATATACTTAGCTATCTGTATTTTTGCCTTAGAAGTACGTAACAGATTCATGCTAGACATCTGAACTAAATGTTTAACTTCACAATACTTGGGTATTTGATGAAATTATCTACACAGCATATTTAAGAAAAAAACCAAATAAATTTCTAAATTTCACTTTACTTCAGACAGAGGTGGCTGCCAGACTAGCGACCTGACAGTTGTCCTTTCCCAATTTCTAAGGTGACATTCTCACTGCTGTCCTATACCACTGAAGCTTGCCTAAACTTACTACCTTTCAACCTCGGGGGCTCTACGTGTGAGCAGAATCATGGCTGGGCCATCCTTTACCACATCTGATGCATACTTTGTGGACTGGTACTTGGTGGGCAGGACCACCAAGCTCCCCATGACCCATAACAAAGCTCCCGGGACCAGGTGGATATGCTCCATGGCAACCTCCATGTCACTGCTCTGTACTTGTTGGAATTCAGAACACAGTATCCCAAAATATGGCACCTCAACATGCTAAGTTCTTCTAAATGAAGGAGGCTGGAAGGGCCTCAGAAGCAAAGTCTCTCTGACTTTCTCCTGTCTCCAGCCCCTCTTCCTCCCTCAAAGCAAGTCATAGAAAACAGAATTCCTTTTCCCCAAGATGTGTCACAGAAACTAGAACTCTTCTCCCCCAAAGCAAGCCATAAAAGTTAAAAGTCACTCTTTCTCTTCTCCCTTGAAGACCCTCATTTCGGAGGGATCCTGCCCCGTGTAGGGATGGGTAGTGTTAGACAGAGAGGCCAAAAATAATTTAGACAGACAGGTCTTGCTGGGTTCCTCCCCTCAGTCTATTGCCATTAAATTATACCCTTTTATCTGATCACATTTCTACAAGGCTGTCCATTTCTTCACCAAATCTAAGCATAAAAATACACAGTTTTCCCTGGGTCTTTGGACCTTCATTTCTGAAGTCTCCTATGTCACATAATACTTTGATTAAATAGTTTGTTACGCTTTTCTCTTGTTAACCTGTCTTTTGTTATAAGAGTGTTGGCCAAGTCCCTTATGGTGGGTGAGGAAAGGTATCACATCTTTCTGTCCCAACAGTTTCTGGCACCCAAATGAGGCAGCTGAGACACCTGACTTGCTGTGGACCCTGCAGATGAGGTGCTGAAACAACCGACAAAACGCCAGCAAAGAAAGGTAAGGATTTCTTTTACCAAGGTCACCTCTCCCGGATCTCTGTCTGTAGTGTCCAGTTGAGAATGGAAGGCAAAAATTTCTCTCTATATCTTCCTTTTCAAATTCAGGTTAGCAAGAGAAAATCATCTGTTATTAAATAAACCTGGTATGCTTTCGTCTTGTTAACCTGTCTTTTGTTATAGGAGTGTCAGCCGTGACCCTTAAGGTGTGTGTGGTAAGGTGTCATTACACCTCTCCGCCTCTACACATTCGTGCTACCAAACGTCTGAAAACAGCCTAATACGCCATCACTTTATAATGCAGCAGTAGCCTAGAGAAAGATGTCTTAAGTATACCATTATAGATTTTGTACAGAAGAGCTATTATGGCTAGAGCAATGTTTTCTTTAGATTTAAGGATTTATTTGCTGATTTTTTTTACCACTACAATGTAAATATAATGAAGTCCCTGCCTCCAACAGCATAAAAACATTTCAAATGCTTATTTGTTCCACAAATATTTATTAATATTTAATATGCTAAGTCTATGTTAGAGTATGTGGATGAAATATGTATCTAGTGCCTATTCTAAAAGAGCTCACGGTCTAGAAAAGTTGTGAAAACAGCTGTGGATTATATCAAGATTAATCAATAAACTGCCGTCTTACCAATTATCCTTCATTGATTCATCCACTTAGCAAATTTAGTCCAACACTTACTACAGGCCAAATATAAAATAAAATTAAAATGGAAAAGATAAGTTTCCATTCCATTTTCTAGACCTAAAGAAGTATAAATAGGCAAGTAATAAAACTTCTTGAGAGAAAAATTAAGGCCAAAAATGAGATGTAAAGATATAAACATAACATATGGGAAAGGTTTGAAATGAAAATCACTTAAGCAATTTTACTATATTCCAGACATGAACAAAATTTAATACTCACAGATTTCTAGCCAGATGGATTTTCATATTGACAATGAAAGCCAAAGTATTTAATCAACTTAAAACTGGATAGAAGTAAATCAGAACTGGCACTTCCACAACTATCTTTAATCATTAGGTTTCACAGAGAAAATACTCAATCACACAAAGCATATTATAAAAACTAATAAAGCGGCAAATTGCATGAAGAAAGACACAAATGAACTGAATTCACAATTTTAGTAAAGGAGTTTAAGATTGTGCAGGGCAGCAGCAACATTAGTTTCTTCTCAAGTAATGTTTAAGCTAAAATTATAAACTGACTATATTATATAGTATCACATAATCTATTTTAAACTAATTGGCTTGTCTACTTGTTTCCTAGAGCAGCCATAAGGAAAGGCAAAGCTCTGCCCTACTTGGCTGACCCAAGCTCACTTGACCACTGCTAGAGGAAGGAGAAAAGAGCAGCTGTCTCACTATTTTTCAGAGCATGGGATTTCTCCTTAAAAGAATTCTAGTGACAAGTATACACACAGACAGTTGTATATTTGGTAAACAACTATATTACACCTCTCGCTTATTACTATTTGCACATTTCTAGGTTCTTTACATAATGAACTGCAAGACTCCAGGGGATGTCATTCATATGAACTGCAAGGTGACATCTCTCCCCTGTTTTCTATTAATATCATATGCTAGTACCTGATTTGCCCAGATAGCAGTCGGTACTTCTAAATGTAAGTGCCATAAGTCAATATTCTGAAAAAAGGCTTAACCTGTGAAGTCAGAAGACTTGAATCAAAATGGAATCTTGATTCCAACACTTAGTAATCTCAAGTTAACCTCTTTGAGCACTATTCCCATCTATTAAAATGGGTACCTAAATTTTATATATAATAGGATTATAGTGAGACAAGCGAAAAATATGCTCTATAAATAGCCAAGCCTTACACTATAAATACTATTTATTTCAAACAATCCTCTCCAACACTATCAGATGATTTACATGCTTTCCTCTGAGCATATATTTTCATAATATTCACATGTTATCTTAATCATTTGTTTATAATTTTCCTCATAAGACTACAAATACCTTAAGGACAGGGACTATGACTTATTGTATTTCCTACTCTAGCACTCAGTAGAGCCAATAAATAGTTGAATTTTATTATTTTACCATTATGTTATTATGCATATAGGAACAACCTACTCTACTTTACAGTAATACTACATATAATCTTTATTGTACTCACTATAATACACTAGATTTTAGTAATTCATATACTAAAGCTCAAATCTAAAACATCCAAGTCAATGTGATTAATTCCCAGGATACAGGTGGAAGACTCAAAGTATGGTTGTGCAAACTCTTCTTGCTTGACAAAGACTTGCCACCTTCACCCCTTGCTCCAGTGTATCACAAATACTCTAAATATCTATGATAAAGCTAAGGGTTTACCAATGAGAAGCTTTCTCAATTATTTATTCTGGTACCTAGTACACACTAACTGGCTCAAAAGATGAGCATATCTGAGAGGGCTGAAGAAATCTGTATTATATCCACAGGAAAAAAAAAATGTGTCTCTGTGCTCTTAGAGATATCCAATAAAAAGAACGTAAAAAAATTAATAACTATAAAGAGTGATTCTAGTCTTTCTAAACTATTACATGTACATCTGATCTTTCAAATAACACAATGTTACTAAACTAATAACACACCAAGTACTGCAGGAAAAAATGTGTTCAGGACACTCTGGCATTCACTAGCCTAATAAATATTTCTTCCACCTATCTTTTTGGTTTTTAATGTCTTTCCTTTTCCATGTGGTCATGGAAAGACCATGAACATCAGAGTCAGAGAGACATAAAATCAAATCTCAGCTCTACTGTTCACTTGCTGTATAACCCTAGAACAAAGTAAGCACTCATTAAGTAAAAACTGATATTGTTATCAGAGAAAATTTTATAAAAGCTACAAGAATATCATATATATGCGCCTTCATACATTAAGCTATAAAAGTCTTTAATAAGCATATTGAAAGAAACCAAAATGTCTGGGAAGAGGCTGAAGCCTCATAGGAATGTGTATGGTTGAATGGAGTTTTAGAAAGTCTAGCAGAAATGGTTAGACAAAAGTAGGGGGTATAGAGAGGAGGATCCAGGAAGTAGAGTAAAGCAGCATAATGATCAGACTAGAGGAGATGAGAGGTAAACAGAGGAATTTGCATTTTGACCTCAATCTTAGGATTTTAAAGAAAAAAAAAGGGGTAAAATTAAATGTCTTCCATGTTCCCAACTTTGGACCAAAATTTCCTTTGAGGCTAAACCTGGCTGTGGTCTCAGAAGGCAGAGTTTGCTCTAGCCAGCGAGTCTCTCCATGTGATGAGCAGCAGCAGGAAAAGGGAAGGCAGGGCAGTCCCCAGCCTGTGCTGTGATGAACTCTGAACCGGAGCAGGGAGCTGAGCAGCAGTGGGAACGGCAGTCAGAATAGGATCAAGGTCAGACTAAGCCACTGCTCCCTCAGCAAATGGCACCACGACCTGCACAGTATCCTTGGTGATGACAACCAGTTCCATGGTTTTTACTTTTGTGAGTCCAAAAACCTATTTTTTCCAGCTTACTCAGGCATTCAAAGAAAATAATTCATACCATTCAAATGAAAAGAAACTGACATATAATCCTAAAAATTTGCAATAAGAAATACAACTAGCTTGAGAATCAAGTTGCATCTCTCTGAATTGACAGATTAACTTAAAAGCCAAACGCTCTGAGGACTTTTTGGGAAACCTATATCAAAGCCACAGGAGGTGGATGCTCAACAATCAAGCTACAGAGATTCCTAATGAACTGTCCTTCCAGACTCTCAGGGGATTTCTGTTCAAAAGACTCTCACTAAGGCAATGTCTAAAAACAAACTTCTAGCCTGGACCCATCCCTTCCCACCATGTACCTTTTTTTCCATTTCTGAAGTCCGTTCTTTTCCTGTCCCATTACTTTTCGATTGCATATTTCAAACTACTAAAATATTTATACTTAATCATGCCTGGGTTTCAAGGTTTTTAACAATTTTTAATTTTTTTAAAGACACGTTGAGACTATATTAAATTGAAGGTGAAATGGTAACTAGGGAGTAAAAAACCTTCCTAAAGCTATGTATAAGATAAAAAATGAAGACTAGCTAAAACAAACAAATTTAAATCTGTGAATTGAGTAAGAAAATACAGAGCCACTTTCTCTTTTCTTCAGTTATCCGGAAAAAATTGTATATTAATAATTCTCTTAATTACAACTGATCCAACCAGATCATTCAGGAATAGATTCTAACCTGAGAATCACAAAACTATCCACCAAAACTGGATATGCCTATAGGAAAATGGGGTGAGGGGGGTGAGCAACTGAAAATGATCGCTTAAAGTGGTAAAATGCAAACTAATCATTAGATAATAAAAGATTTAAAACATAACCTATACCCAATTGAGGAATTCCTTTAAATCTTCACTCTATCACAATAAATGTCATCATATGAGCAGATCTTACTTTCCCTTTGTGAATTTAAATTATAATAGATGTTGATTATTCTACCTATTAATAAACAATAAAACCTTAAAACCAGTCATTTCAAGACACTAAAAATGAAAGAGTTCCATCTTTCTCTATATCTTAGCTACTCGCATTTGAGTGAAGAGAATGTAACTCCCTTCAAGCCTTAAATAAGCCCCATATAGCTGGCGTTGCAAGATTTGGGAAGAATTGCAACTCTTTTAGGATGTGACCCTACAATCCTTGATTCATATTGACTTTAGCTGAAATGCTAACATCTTCATTCTCTACTTTTGGAATGTCAAAGAGGGAAAAAAATACAGAGTACAGTGAACAGACTACATTCAGTATACAGAATGTACTGCCTTAAAAATTAAAATCAGTACACAGTACTAGCCTATTCTTAATTTGTCCTGCTGTACTGATATTATAATTCAACTAAAGAATAGAACAGCTTTGGAATGATGAGAATAAATAGTAGCTGTACGCTATAGTAAAATATCAAAAAAACGAAATTAGTTTGTCAGTACTCACCGTTAAGAGAGTGTCAGTCTAATAACAACCATACCAAGAAACATACCTGCTCACTTTGATTCCATTCCCCTTGCTGCTTCAGAGATGGAATGGCCCAGATGCTCAGTTTCCCTGAGAAGTGAATGGCTGCAAGGAGCATCCCATCTGGAGAAAGGCTCATCTTAAAGATTCCATCCTATATAAGAATCGTAATGTCAGAGCAAAGAACTTATGCTCAAATACAAATAACTTACAGAATTAAATGATACTCTTCAGGAGTGCCATGTTATAAATCATCTTCAGTAATTAAGGGTTGCACCAGGTTGATATCACTATAAATGTGTTCTAGCATATAGAAATAGACTCCTGACCTTAAGGAGTTTGTTATCTACTTTCCAGAGTTATAATTTACATATAACCCAAAACCCAAATATGCAAGCATTATAAACATATTTCTTTATATATCAACTATCATGAGTTCTCAATACCTCTTATGGCTGGTCTTGAACAGATTATCAATTCCATGAAATGGGGGGCCCTTACCTTCATAAGATTCTATAGGTACACAAGGCCTGGAATATGTTATATATTACAGATAGGCCAAAAATTCATGCTGTGGAAAAGAAAAAAAAATGGAGAAGAAGGTAGAAAGAGAGATAAAGGGAGAGAAGGTCTGACAATGATGGAAACAGAACGCAAAGGGGAAAAATAGTCCTTAATTTAGGAAACACTATGAAGGTTTAAGAATTTCCAGATTTGTGGTCAAATTATCCAATTTAAGGAATCCAACTGTTACAGAGAAAAGAGAAATTTTATAATACACTGGCTTCACATAGTCAACCTACGGGTTCACAGAGGAAGTCTTATTTTTCTAAACCTTCTTGTCCATATAATCTTTCTGTCCTTTCCTGTCAGAATACTAGGTTTTTTTAGTCGCCACAAAGCACATGAACAGAGACATCACTTGTCTACTACCTATAAAATAGATTCAAAAGAATCAAATAAACACTAACTGGACATCTAACAATTTCCCCTTCAGGCATTTATTAAGGACAGAGTCTAAGGTAGCTTTCCCATAAAGAATGAAACAGAGATCAGAAAATGGCAACCAACAACCATACTTCTTCTGAACGTTTAGAAAATCTGGCAACACAGAGCACATGTCCTCAAATGGCAATAGAAATAAGTAGAAGATGGCCCCTTAGAAAGGCCATAAACTTTCCTAGTTAGTCAAAATCCCCACCATTCTCTATTATTGCTCCAATATGAAGGCCAAATATCAGCTACATAACTGAAAACTAAACATGACTATACTGAAAACAAAAATTATTACACCTAGTCCAATTAGCTAAATTATATTATCTACCTGGCTTCTGTAAACATTTACGTTTAAGTCTTCAAGTCTCAGATGACTAAGGCACATTAGCCATCAAAAATAAACAGAACAATTTCGGGAGATCAGGAATATTGCTGGACGAGTGGATAGATGAAAACATTAGCAGCCTCTAATTACGTCACTGAAGACCAAAATTACTTTTGTGAACGAAAATAAAATTTTAAGGCTCACCACCCCATCAGCTGACTAACTGGATCCCCTCTTGGCCAAAGGAATATCCTAAAACTAAATTTCCTGGGAGGAGGAAGGAGGTCAGACATGCCTTATCATGCCCCCCTCCCTTCTTGGGGACATCCTTTGTAATCCATTAACAGGCCTAAGGATATGCAAAACAAACCTGCAGGTCCTGGATTCACACAACAAATATATGTCCTGTGGCTTATCTCTGATAAACAGCTCCTATGTTAAAACATTCCCAGCCTTTAGATAACGCTTCCTGTCTTTAACCAATTACAAGCCAAAGAATCCTTAAACCCATCTATAACCTGTAACCCCCCCCCCATTTGAGATGGCCCACCTTTTCAGGTCAAACCAATGTATGCCTGCCACGTATCAATTTATAACTTTACCTATAACCCCTGTCTCCCTGAAATGTATAAAATCAAACTGTAACCCAGTCACACTGAGTCCACTTGCTCAAGGCTTCTTGGGCATGGCTCCAGGTCATGGTCCTCAAATTTGGCTCAGAGTAAATCTCTTTAAAGTTATTTTACAGAGTTTGGTCTTTTTTTCCGTTGACACTTTACCTAGACATAGGTTTATCCCAGAATCCCAGAATTAAATGTAAGAAAGACTAGAAAACAAATGCTTGAGAAAGACAAGCAATAAAAGCAAAAGTACTTCAAGAAAAATTTTAAATATATCATGTCCCTTCCTCTGTGATGGGCGCAGGGGAAGGACTAGAAGATAAAGGGCCTGGAATCTTCCTTTCTCAACTTTAAAGTCAGTAAACTCCATAATTTTGCATAAGGCAGGCCTCAGAAGCATAGATTTTTTATTGGCTAAGAGAAAACTCTGCCTACCCTTTGGATTTTTACAGAGAAAGAAACTGAGGACCAAAAGGGCAAAGACATCGGCCCAAGATCATTCAAGTGTAGAGAGCAGAACCTGAGTTATAATGCAGATGTGTCTAATCCCAATCCATGGCACTTCCACGAACCAGGATTACAGTCCCCACCTGGGCCTTTCTAGTAGTCACAAGCATGCTCCTCAATACAAATTATGGTCAAGTATAATTAGTCACATGTGATCTGTATGGTAATTCCCAGACATTACAAATGCTCCATTAAACAACTCCAATAAAAGTGCTCTGAAAGCAAGAAACAAGTTTATGAATCTCTTTAACAAAGACACAAAAAGTATACTGAATAATTTAACAATAGCAGTGTGACCAGGAAGTAATGAATGAATATGCTAAATTTTCATTTTTTAAAATCCCTCCCTCCTGATGGGGTTCAGGACATATAAGCACAAAATAGGGCACCTTAGCATTTGAGAAAACAGCAGAAGCAGGAAGGTCACTCTCACCTTCCCCTCACCCTTCCCCCATGAAGCAGGTCATAAAACCTAGGAAAAGTTTTCTGACCTTACCCTCAAGCAAGTCATCAGATCCTCATTCAAGAGGTATCCTCCCTAAACCTGGAGGAAAATAACATCCTCATCTATGAAGACACAGAGTCACAAAGAAGAATGTAAACAAACATGACTTGGTAAGTTCCCCCTAGTTTATTACCATTAGGTCATACTTATCCAATCACACCACTCACAACTATTCATTTTTCTTCTTCAAACCTAGCATTTAAAAATACAGAGGTTTTCCCATTTCTTTGAGTCTTCACTTTCCTATCAAGTCTCCCAGGTCACACAAAATTTGTATTAAATAAATCAAATGCTCTTCTCTTGTTAATCTGTGTTTTGTTACAGAAGCCTCCGCAATGAATGTAAGAAAGGGTAGAGGAAAGATATTGTTCCAACTCTACACTCCCTTCTTTCCTTTCTTTCTAGAAATTTAAACAACAAATGTATTAATTAGAATGTTACCATTTGCTTTTAATATGGTGGATACTTGATCCCCTAGTTTCATTTGATGCTATGATATCCACATTGCAAGTATAACAGGGAGAATGGCCTGAAAAGGGGTAAAAATGTGTTCTGTCTCTCTAAAACCTCCCCAATCTTTTTGGGAATTAAAATCTGCATCCCTGCCTCAGGCCAGTGGTTGGGAGGGGTAGGGGAGCATCCTTTGTTCTTTGGACCACAGGAGATGGCTGAAGGGAATCTTCAGGGAAGAGGTCAAGAGACTGTCTTAGCCCAAGATAGGATGAATCAGAACCATCAAGTATAGTTGAACAGCAATAGCCAGAAGCTGAAAACCTCTCCTTTAAAAGCTCTCTATTCCTGCTCTGAGGCAGGACATTGGTACTTTAAGACAGGAGTCTGCCAACCTCCTGATTTGCCAACAAATTAATAAACTTCTCTTTCCTTCTCCTCAAACCAGTTGTCTTCACTCTTCTGATGCAACCTTGGGGACAAGAGCCAAGTTTTTGGTAACATAAGCTTAGCATTTCTTTCCTTAAATATCTTATTGTAGGAATTTTCACTTACATACAAAAGTAGAAATTATAGTGCAATGACTACCCACGTGCCCACAACCAGCTTCAACAAATATCAATATTTTTGGGGGGCTTGATTTATTTACCCTTCCCCAATAACCACCATTCCGGAGGATTTTAAAGCAAATCCCAGACATTATTTCACTTACAAATATACATGAAGTATACATTTCCTTAAAGTCCCAAGTTATCTGTTTAAATTTCATAGATGTATAGTAAGATGATACAGTTGTTAGTAGCAATTGGATTATAGCCACTCAAGATGGACAAGTCACCTGTGTTACATGAAACACAAAGTTTTCTTTCTGAAATAAAAATTCCGATTTTTATTTGTATTAATAGAAACATTTCCGAGTGCCTGTATAACACACAGGAGATTACTGACAGTAACTGTGGTACAAAGTCTCAAGCCACAGTTTGAAAATCCATGCTAAATTCTGCAAACAAAGTCTGAGGTATTTGAGAGTCTGCCTGTTGGTGGACAAGGAAGGGAATTCTAGAGTATGTGCCTTGAAAATGGTGGGAAGTGGCTTTTTAAACAACTGTACATCACAATAAAAGTAAACCTCATACATTTAAACCACGCTTCTTCAATATTGTATTAAGATTTTTTTCAGCGTAAGTGAATAATAATCTTGTTCTCTTCTTCTTCATTTGAATTAAGTAGTTTAAAAGCAATAAAATTTAGAAGCAGCTGCAATTTTCACATTGGTTAAAATGTGTCTTAAGTTTCTTTCACATTCCTTGGCTATGAATGTCATTTTTATTTTAGTCATCATTTCAACAGCTGGAATATTGGTCAAGAATATATAACTTGGTTCTGCCACTCAGTATTAATAGTTATGTGACCTTAGGCACATTAGTTAATTATCATAAGTACCTTTATAGTCTCTTTACAATAAAAATAACAACATCTACACATTATAAAGTTGTCCCAAGGACAAAATTAGAGTTTATGTAAAGTGATTCACTGCATTTACCATACAACTCAGCTTTCTAAATAAAACAGTATGAACACTGGATTCTACCTGAATCCATAATAACCTATCTTAGTTAAAATTCCAACAACATGTCCCATTCATTTAGTATTCTTCACTTTCACCTTAGTGATACGAACTAAAATACAATCTTAAACTCCCCCCTCAACTGACTGAATGGACTGAACTGTGACCCAACCACAGTGAGTCC